GTAAATGTTTTGAACAAAGCAAGGATCCGTTGATTGTTCCTCAGGGAAGTGGATTGTTCTGGACGCCGACACTCCGTCCCTCAACAAGCTAACCGTCATCGGGGTCCTGGAGGTTCCCGACACCTTGAACAGAACCGTAGTGATAGATGCTGTTTACATCTTGGTCCAGGTGAGCAAATGGATCCGGTCCATCGTGTTTAAATCCTCCTCCTGACCTCTGAACTTCAGAGAACTTTCTGGCTGCTGGGAATGATGGGATGTCTGAGGGAATGTTTGGGAATGTCTGCAGGGCGGCAGGCTGCTCGCCGGATGGGAACACGAGCCGTTCCAAGGAGAGCTGCAGATCCGACTCAGAGGGAACCACAACACTCCGGACTGGGTGCTGCCCAACGGACCCAACCAGGGATCCAAGGTTCTGGGTGAGAAACCCTTCAGGATCAAAACATCCAGATCTGTTTCAGGTCTTAGAAGGATCCTTGTTGGCTCACATAGGCGGGGGGTGTACCTGTCTACTGGCTTCCATAAACGGGGAGAGATGCATATAATGGGGGCTGAACCCTTTTCTTTAGGCTATGGCGTTCTTTATCCGTGCGGCCATCCAAAGCAGGCGGCAGCCGGGGCCCCGCCCCCCAAGAATACGTCCATTTTCACATTTTGCTTTATCTTCTCCATTTTAAACACATTCTTCAACCTTTCTTGCCATTGGTGAAGGTTTTGGTGGGAAAAGGTTAAAGCCAAGACAGAGTTATCATTTTCCTTGCTACTTATAGCAGAATCTGTAGTTTAAACCCAGTTTCAGTTTGGATGTGGACCTGGTTCCATCAGAACCATCAGGGTCTGGTTCTTCAGGAAGGGTCCAGGAAGCTGTTCTGGTGTTGGTTTGGTTCAGATGTTTCATCCTGAGCCTCATCCTGGTTCTGTGGTTTTCCTGCAGGCGTGTTTGGAACTCTGGACCTGTACGGACAGCCTCCCAACGTTTACCACACCAAGCTCGCCGCCACCGCCGCAGCTGGGTCCATGACGCTGGTTCTGACGCAGCCCGTGGACTGGAAGGTCTGTGGAAGGTTTGATGACGGTTTAAGTGGAGGATTTAGTTTAGTCCACAGAAAGCTTAGAAAGTGATCACGGTTCTGATCCAGTTCAGGATCAAAGCTAGAGGACATGTAGAGACGTAGCGTAGATGTTCTGCCTCCTTTAGGGAGACCCAGAGGGTCTGTTTTAGGTCTGATGCTTTTCCAGTAGGGAATCCACAGCAGCTCCATCGGCGCTCAGTGGTTCTGTTCTGTCCGGTCGCTGCTCCTCACCTCTTCGCTGTCATGTCTGTGACGGTTGTGCAGGTGGGAGATCAGGTGGCCGTCTCCACCACAAGCTACAGCGCCTCAGAGACAGAAAAACACCGGATCTCCGCCGTGTCGGCCGACGGCCTCATCCTGACCCTGAGCCAACCTCTGAGCCACACTCACGTCGGTAAGTCCTCCTCCAGGGACAGAGCAGCATCCAGGAAGCATCGGTTCCACCAGACTCACCTTCTAACGGCCTGTTTCTGCGGTTCCTGCAGGTGGAACCCACTCCGTGTCAGGAACATCCTTCTCCTACACGCTGGCTGCAGACGTTGGTCTCCTGAGCAGGAACATCCGGATCATCGGTGAGGAGTATCCGGCCATGATGGCGGAGTCCTTCGGGGCCCGGCTGCTGGTCGGAACCTTCTCCAGTCAGGGAATCAGCTATAAAGGTACCAGGATCTCTTCTTTTGCATTTCAGGATTGTCCAAGAAGCTCCTTAAAGCTTTATGTTTTCCAGTTTATTGACAAGACAACGTCTTTTTTTTAATGCTGAAACGATGAACAGCCTAAGATTAGAGCCGCCGATTGGCTTTTAGATTTTCTACATGTTGCAGTTTGGTGTTTGTTCCACTAGGTGTCTCTGCATGACCAACTTTACGCTTTAAACCTTAACAGGTTGGTGTTATATATATATATATATATATATATATATATATATATATATATATATATATATATATATATATATGAGTTTCTTGCCTGTGTCGAAAAAGTTCAGGCTCAGGATTTTTTTTTTCTTTAATCCCTGCATAGATATGAAATGGTCTGGATGAATAGTGGATTCTGATTGGCTGTAGGGCGTCCGTTAATCAGGGTTATAGGATAAAAGGTTCAGGTGAAATAGTCCGATAGTTTTTGCTAGCTCAAATTTTAGCTGGGAACGGGGAGACTGTTTACGCTGGTTACCTAGGCAACACATCACATCTCAAGATGCAGAATTTCCTAAAAAGTAGCCAATCACAGGCGGGTTGCTTTTTCCGATGGGTAACTTCTTCAAAGGAGCAAAAGTTGACATGATGAAGCAGAAACCGGTGCACAGGAGGAGGAAGCAGGAGAGAAGGAACGACCTCCATGTTTTATCTATGTTAAACACGCGTTGGAGGAAGAGTTAATGAGCGTCTGTGTGACGTAAAGCTGCTCAGAGGATTTATTGCATGTGTGGAATTTTGGCATAATCCTGACGCCATAGATTTTAGATTATTTCATCTTTATTTATTCATATAATCTTACTGATATCCAAAATCTATTTTTTTTTTTACGAGAGATCAGTTTGATTCAATAACGTTTTACAAACACATTAACAATACGAGTAAAATAGATCATAAATGTTCTGACCTCTCCAGATCTTTTCTGGTCCATTTACCTTAGAGCCACATTCCTCCTCCATACGCTGATCTGTTGGTTACTTTCAAAGTGCCTTGCCCAGAGGCATGCTGGCAGGTGGCGTGGGAGAAAGCAGGCACCAAACCCACAGCTTTCCCAGCTCTGCAGCGCTAACGTTGGTTTCCTCCCAGTAGCTGCTTCTGATGGAGCGCTTCTCTCAGACCTTCTTCTCCTGGTTTTCTTTCTCCTAAAGGAAAAGCTCAGATCCGGAACGTGGAATTCTTCCGCTCCGGCCAGGAAGGCTGGACCGACTCTTACGACCCCCGCTACTCCGTGGCGTTCCTGAACCTGGGAGAGGTACGGCGGCGTTCACACTCACTCCTTCACGCACGCATTTAGACATCCCAAAACAAGGGGTGGATATAGAAAATGTGGGGCCCTAGGTAAAGACGGGCAGGGGGGGGGGCTGTGAATTTAGAAAATAAATATTTCTATAGCTCCAATTCACATCATGTCATCTCAGGTCACTTTATAGATCCAGATCAACCAGATCATCCAGTCAGATTGATTCAAAGTTTTCTATCTAAGGAAAACCAGCTGATTGCATCGACTCATTGACTCTTCAGCAATCCCTCACACTAAGCATGCTTGTAGCGACAGTGGAGAGGAAAAACTCCCTTTGAACAGGAAGAAACCTCCAGCAGAACCAGGCTCAGTGTGAGCGGCCATCTGCTGAGGCCCACTGGGGTTCAAGGAGACAGAAGCAGACATAGAAAAAGAAGCATAGATGTTATTCAGGCTGATTGATCTTTATTGACCTTTAGAAGAACATGTCTGCTGTACAAACATTTGAAACCATTTTTAGTTTGATTTAAAGAAGCTCTGGTCTCTGATCCGGTTTTAAAGCCTCAGATGTTCCTGATCTCTAGCTTTGGACTTCGGCTGCTTCTTTCTTGCAGCTCAGCTGTTGAAAAGCTGCAGATTCTGATCCGTCGGTTTATAATTTAAAGGTTTCCGGGAACGACTCATACATCCAGGGATGTGCCTTCCATGACGGCTTTTCTCCTGCCGTCGGAGTCTTTGGGACCTCAGGCCTGAATGTCGACGACAACGTCATCCATCACACCGTGGGAGAAGGTAACCCAGCGGATCACGCCCTCACTGACAGCGCGGGTAAACGCTCCTGCTCCTCCAGACTTCCCTGAGGGTTGCTGGTATTTTTCCGTGTCTGCAGGCATCCGTGTCTGGGGCGACAGGATCACGCTGAGGAGGAACCTGGTGATGATGTCACTGTGGCCTGGATCGTATCAGGACAGAGAGGAACCCTTCAACTTCGATTGGAACGCAGCCATTGAGGTTCTTCCTCTACTACAAACCATTCGCTGCTGGGATTTCCACAGCATTTCCAGCATTCCTAACCTGTTTGCTGTTCCTTAGGTGAACCAGGGGACCAACGTGGTGCTGCAGCATAACATCGTGGCGGGTTACGAGAGGGTGGCGTACCGCATCGACGGAGAACCCTGCCCAGGTAAATAAAATTACATCCTGAACCGGAACGTTTTCCTCTGGGAGCAGAACGGACCGTCTCCTCTGCTCCGGCAGGTTTCCCGAACCCTAACGAGGCCTGGATCCAGAACGAGGCGCACGGCGGGCTGTACGGAGTTTACCTCAACAAGGATGGACTGCCCGGATGCAGCTTCATCCGAGGATTCTTCGTCTGGAAAACCTTCGATTTCGCCATCTACTTCCAGGTCTAGGAAAACTCCACCTTATGATCCTGATAAAAGGAATTCTGCTCTTTGGTCTTTGGTTCTGTTTACAGTTAGTCTGTTAGAGACTCAGCCACCAGTGAGGGTCAGTTAGCCACCAGTGAGGGTCAGTTAGCCACCAGTGAGGGCCAGTCAGCCGCCAGTGAGGGTCAGTTAGCCACCAGTGAGGGTCAGTCAGCCACCAGTGAGGGTCAGTCAGCCACCAGTGAGGGCCAGTTAGCCACCAGTGAGGGTCAGTTAGCCACCAGTGAGGGCCAGTCAGCCACCAGTGAGGGCCAGTCAGCCACCAGTGAGGGCCAGTCAGCCACCAGTGAGGGCCAGTCAGCCACCAGTGA